TTCAAATTAGATCATGTCACGCAATAACGTCTTTAAGAAAGAACACAGTTCAAGTAAAATAAAATTTCAACGACTTTTATGTAAAGTATTTTAAGCAAAATATGATATGCCTTAATGTTTTCTGTTTATTTATCTAAGCCCTGGTGAGCAGATTAATTTCTGTGAAAGAAAATTAAGTTCCCATATATATATATATATGAAGAAATTTCTTCATTCTGTCGGATTTATATCCATTTACACTTGCTTATATATATATATATATATATATATATATATATATATATATACAATAAAATCCAAAATCACCTTATAGGATCCCTGTCTCGTGCCTTCCGTCCGACTGAAACATAAATTCTGTATTATTTTTTTCGACCGCTTTTTTAATCTTTCACAGTTAAATTTCTATTTCTAACACGAACTCAGTCCATGCCGGGGTTGATAAGACAGACGCCCTATTTTCGTCTACCGAAATATATTATTTCCCCATATCAGTTCTATATGAAATGATTTTGGATGTTATTGTTTATTAATTATTTGCCCTGTAATAATAATACATTGAGCTCTTTTTGTAGATCAGTTTTAATATTACTAGGATCCACCTGGATTATATACCAACGGAATTTTTAACTTTACTATATATATATATATATATATATATATATATATATATATATATATATAATATCTTACTTATTATAAAACGCAGATTGTGTGTGTGTGTATGTGTGTCTGTAACGTTTATATATTGGATCGGATTTCCTACATTTTTCAGCCGATTTCAACAAAACTTCACAGGACTACATAAAATTACCTTGTGGTGGTTCTAACAGCACCAAAAATGGGAAAAATATAATTGTTTTTGCACAAAATCAATTTGAAAACACGATTAAGAGACATCGTGAAAATGGAAGGGGACAACTCACATCGGGTTGTTTGTGTGTGGGTTCCTTTAAATATGGGAGCGGATTTCCATATTTTTCAGCCGATAAAACAAAATTCACTTTTTTTTTTTGGCAGGTAGTGTTTTTATTCTCTTGCACACTTTTTTCTTTATTTTTAACATTCAGAATGCTTTAAAAATTCCATTTACATGACAATTATTTATAATAAAATTCTATTCAATTGGGAAAAACGATTGAAAACAATGTTTTTATTTGAGTTTGGGTTTGACCAATTCGTAAAAAAAAAAAAAAACTAATTAAGACATGCGTGTCCGTCAACCTTACACTTTGTCAATTTTATTTTTCAGTCTTTATGATGGTGGATACTTGATCTATCTCTTAGATCGTTATATATATATATATATATATATATATATATATATATATATATATATATATATATATATATATATATATATATATATATATATATATATACATATATATACACACACACACACACACACACACATATTCTTTTTATAGATAAAATATTTAAGTAAATGATCTATTTATGATAAACAGTATTTACTGATCTGAATGTCCGAGAAATTTTCATAGAAAATACTCGTCCTACGACAGGAATCGAAACTGCATCCTATACGGAGCCGTCATTTAGCCTGACGTGCCTTAACCGATTCGGCCACAGAGGAACGCTCGGTTAACGAGGTAGGTTTTACTGTCTTTAAACTACGATGTATGTATATATATATATGTTTATATATATGTATGTATATATGTCGATATATGTATACATGTATGTATATATGCATATATATATGTATGTATATATATATATATATGTATGTATGTATATATATGTATGTATGCGTGTATATATTTATATCTATCTCTCTATATATATGTTTATATATATCAACGTTTCAAAATAATCGAAGCATTAATAATAAAAAAAGAACAAACCAACTCTCAATAATATCAATTATGTTCTTGTCCACTCTACAAATGAAGACATAAACAAATAAACGTATTCATAACAAATAATAAACAACGAATAATGAAGTAATCAATAAAAAACGAAGCATTAAAAATTAATTAAATTAAATTAAATTAAAATTAAATTAAAAATTAATAAAAGCATTAAAAATCAATTAAAAACGAAGCATTAAAAATTAAAAAAAGCATATAAAAATCGAGGCATTAATAATAAAAAAGAACAAACCAACTCTTAATGTTATCAATTATGTTCATGTTCACTTTATGAATACAGACATAAACAAGTAAACGCAATCATGACAAATAATAAACAACGGATAATGAAGTAATCAATAAAAAAATCTTGAGTAAATAATGTTGAAAACAAGAGAATGATAATAAGAAATAACTGTATTCGGATCCCCAATTATTTTTACTCAATCGCCTCTCGAAGAATCTGAAATATAACATTGTCTCGTCCACCCAACAAGCGTGACGATAATACAATAGATCTTCTACCCATAATGCATCATTGGCCAGCATATATAAATAGCAGATCGAAAACACTAAACATATGGACTGAAGTTCGCGTTTAAGCCTCAAACAGTCTGCCGCTGTTACATGTTGATGTCAATAGTCATTTTTATATTTACATACGCTCTATCCCGGGTACTGAGCACTACTTCTAAATATTGCATACCTTAAAAACTTAAATGCGTATTTTTTTATTATATATGTAAGTCAATTTTCAATGAGCTCACACACGTATATATATATATATATATATATATATATGTGTGTGTGTGTGTGTGTGTGTGTGTGTGTGTGTGTTAGCTAACTCGTTCCACCACAAGATCTCAGTTTCTCTAAATATTTATGTTACAAACGCCTATAATATGTCTGTTCACATCTATCTAAACTATTTCATATCTATCTATCTATCTATCTATCTATCTATCTATCTATCTATCTATTTTAACGTTTCAATCTCTCTCTCCCTTTCTATCAGTCTGTTTATCTCGCTGTTTACATACATTTCGGTTAATCTACCTTAAAATTCGCTTCGTAGCTGAATCCTCTGCGCAGTTGGGTCACAGAATTTAAAAAACGTAAATGATTTTTTGATTTTCCGTCTTCCTGTGAAAAAAAAACTTCTTTAGATTGATAATTACACTCTTCTACTTGTAAAATCTGTGATGAATGCATCTGTCTCTCTCATTGTATTTGATGGGTGAAATACTGGAAAATCTCCTCAAAGATAAAGAAGAGATTTAAGGCAACAGAAATGTGGTTCTACAATAGGATGCTGAGGATACCAAGGACCGAATATGTGAGCAACGAAAATGGTAACAAAAAGGAAACTTATACTTAATATCAGAAAGAAACAGTTGAAATTTCTAGAGCACATACTGAGGAAAGAAAGCTTGGAAAATTTGATACTCACAAGACAGAATGATGGTAAGCGGGACAGAGGAAAACTATGTGCTTGAGTAAATGGATGGCGGAACAAGCTTTGGGAGAAATTTATTAAGAGTTACAAAGGACAGGAAGTTGTGGTGAGCCATAATCTCCTACGTTTTGAGGGGACACGGCAGATAAAGAAGAAGATTCAGCGTTAGAGATTAAATAGAGGTAAAGATTACGAAAGAAAATTTTCAAGCCGCTATACTATATACACTTCTATCAGCGAGTAAACTCAAAAAATATGAAATCTATCTTTTTATTTATCTATCTCTTTATCTATCTATGTTTACTCATATCTGTCTATTCACATCTAGTAATTTTTTAAGCGTAGCTTAGATGTGGCACAAGGCCGAAACTATGGGGCACCCAGTGATGATAGAACTGACTAAAGTCGTAAATGTTCTAGCGAGACAAGCTTGCTAACCATTGCATCGCCTCGAGGTGAATCTATCTCTATCTATCTATCTATCTATCTATCTATCTATCTATCTATCTATCACTGACTTTTCATATCCGTCATATCTATCTCATTACATATCTGCCTATCTATTTATCTAACTCTCTATGTATATTCATGTCTGTCTATTCATATCTATCTATCTATCTATCTATCTATCTATCTATCTATCACTGACTTTTCATATCCATCTTTCATGTCTATCTCATTATATAAGTATCTGCCTATCTATTTATCTAATTCTTTATGTCTATTCATGTCTATTTATATCTATCTATCTATCTATCTATCTATCTATCTATCTATCTATCTATGCCTATTCACACCTATCTATCACTGTTCATTATCTATCATTATCTATGTTCAATTAACATAACTGTTTTGTCACTTGAACATAAAATGATTTTCATTTAATTTCACACCCGCACTGTTTTTTTCTCTTCGAACCGAAATTGACTTTTAGTGGCGAGTTTGTTTTTCTGCTGCTTCAGCAAATTAGCGGCTAATGTTTTCGTGATTGTGTTTTCAACACCAAACAGAATTAAATTGTCATTGCTTCTTTGCTGGCAGAGGCTGTCGATGGCTCTTCCGTTCTCTCAGCGAAGACATTTTTCAAAGACAATTCACTGGCTCATCCATTTACTTTCTCGCTTACGCACTCACCCTCTCGTTCGCTTCCTTACTCAAATAGACACCCACACACTCGTTGTTTCCCAGCCTTATATTGTGATGTTTTTTTTTGTTTTCCCGAAACTTGTCTTTGTTGCTGATTAAGTATTCCAACAACTTATTCACATTGCGGAAAACTGGTTCATTTACCTACTCTTAATTTTATTACATTCAAATATTCAAGCAATAATAAGACAACTATAAAGACAGTAGCGGATCATACCAAAATCTATACAGCACAATCTATGGAAAGACTCAAAATCCTACAATTGATATTTTTTGACGGTTTATCAACCCTTTGCATGTTATTTAAAATCAGAATATATTTTCTTAGATAGTAAGAATGTTTTCGGATAATTATGATTTACTGATACAAGATTAACTAATTAACCCATAGCTGGAGGAGATGGCGAGAATTGATGTCGTTCTCAAAGATATTTGCCCGTAAATGAATATAAAGCACCCGACTGGAATTGGAACACCGATTTCCAATTCCAAGCTGTTATTCATGAAATCCGCTGTATATCCAAGCTTATAGCACCTTGTATTCCGAAGCGGTCACTGATCCAGATACTGACTCCTCTTGATGTTGCTTAACTTCGGTGATCGTATGAGAAACGGTGTTTCAGCGTGATATGACCGTAAGCCGAAAAATCCTAGATGATACAACACTAAATAAAATATCTTTCATCACAGACTGAATAAACGACAGACAATTTTCATTGGGCTTCTTTTCCTCATTTTATTTCAGCATCTGCATTTTAGTTTGGTACACCCATATAAATAATCTGAACTAAAATGCATACACCTGTATGCATGTGTGTCTATGTAAGTGACGGTGTCATCCAAAACAAACACAGAAGACAATTCCCCCTCCACAACACGCAAATAATCAAGCACAAATAAGCATAAATAGATCCACTTAAAAAAACAAAAACAGTTTATCTGATTATCTCAAAAGTGTGAAACCCAGCGTCACAAACTAATATGTATGCAACTTAATATGTTAATTCTATCGGTGATAAAGTAAGTTCCACTCGAACAGCTTCTTCCTGTGAACAACTGCCCTGTGGAACAGACTTTTAAGAGGATGCTTTCCCGATCATTACAATATCCTATCCGTATAATCTGCCTCTTAATGAAACACACTACCTCGAGTGGCCTCGAGTCTTGTCCAGAGTGAACCTTACTGTAAAAAAAAATTATCGTTCATGAGGAACGAATCTTTTGAACACACCATCCATCCTCTCTTGCTCACATCACCTTACTCTATTTCTCTCGTCTCTTTTCCTTCCTCTCTTCTCATACATATATATATATATATATATATATATATATATATATATATATATATATATATATATATATATATAAAAAAAAAAAGAAAAGAACAGTAAGATATACAATCCGGTGTTTCTTAATTATATTTTTATTTTTACAAAACAGGGCATAAATATTATAAATTAACAGATTTAAAAATATGGTTTCATCGCTACACAGGAATTGCCATGTTTCAAAAACAGAAACTAAATCTTCAAATTCAATTATATAATTAAATTAAAAGCATTAGTTCTGTTTCATCTTCAAGCCTTGAAACATGGTAATTACTGTGTAGCGATGAAACCATATTTTTAAATCAGTTAATTTATAATATATATATATATGTGTGTGTGTGTGTGTTTGTGTATAAAGTGTAAAAATTGCCCTCTCTCTCTCTCAGAAATAAAGAGTTTATAGATATATGGAGTGTGGACATAGAAATCAGCACAATATGGAGACTGTCTGTTTCATTCTCTTGTGCATTTATTATAAGGTGTTTAAGTTGGTGTGCCAGGAATAGGTTCAGTGAAAGTGTGGAGAAAAAGCACATATCTCCATTAATATTCAAGTAAGTAGTCGCTGGTTATTTGAGTTCATGACCTTCAGACTCTGCTTATTTGTGATAATTGTGTAGTTAGTAGGAGTGCATCTGTAAAAAGGTCAGGTCTGTTAACTTTCAAAACATCCAAACTGTCTCTCGACTGTCCAGTTAGGAAAATATCCCTCTCTTCCACGCACACCCCTATCAATTCACACACACAAGACCTTTTATATACATACCGCTAACGGGTATAAACAAGTGATCTGAGATCTGATGATCGCATGGAAGCGTGAAACAGATAGTCAGCTGACAGTATTGATTCCTATGCTCATTTTCTCTCTCCATATATATATATATATATATATATATATATATATATATATATATATATATATATATAGTTAAGTAACGAAAATCTTGGTAATCCGTATCGATAATCCCAAGGAGGATGAAATCCTGAGAACTCAATTTTAAGTCAGAGTGAATAATTTAATTTAAAGAAAAACAGACCACTTTAAGACTCCGTTTGTTATAATTTATTTCACCAAAGAATTTTATTTTCTCTGGATCTTCAGGCTTCCCTTTCATAGGTGGAAGGAAAAATGAATTTAAAAGTTACACTTTTGACGGGCAATATTAAGCTTATATAAGTTGACATAGAGGTTGGTGAGGAATAGTGTTATATATATATATATATATATATATATATATATATATATATATATATATATATATATATATATATGTTGTAACTGCAAAATTGTCCAAATCGTGTAAAATGTCCAATTGTTAGATTAAGCTCTCAAGTTTCACGTACGATTACATTTTCAAGTCTTTTTTCACTACTCTTTAGACTTTCATAGCTGAAACTCCCCCCTCACGTGCTGAACGTTTTTTGAATTGAGTTGGATCTTTTCTTATTGATAACTTTAACTCTAAATTGAAATGATGATCCCTTTTTCTTTTGTGACCTCCTGGTCCAGTTTTCATCTTTCCTATTCCTTCGTTTTTAAACTTATTCACCGCTCTCTTGATGCTTCTTGAAGGGACTTTGAAGATGGAAGCCAGAGTACGAATGTTGGTACCATTACTGAAGGCCTGAAAGATCTTTTTCTTGTAGCAGAATAACACAAAGGTGACAAGATGACTAAACGTCTAATTTGAAAACTTGGAAAAAAGAAACTAAATTTGTTTAGTGTTTTTTTTTTAAACATTATTTACATCTCAGAAATATAGACAGATACTGAAAGGCCGAAACGTTTTTCTTGTAGCAGAATAAATAATAAAGGCGACAAAGATGAGGACAATTTGAAAACTCCGAATAATGCAAATAGTGTAGTGTTTTTTTTATAATTATTTCATCTCAGAAATATAGAAAGATACTGAAAGGCCGAAACGTTGTAATAAATATGATGATAAAATGAGGACAATAGTCCGAATAATGTAAATAGTGTACATAATACCTCATCTCAGAAATATAGACAGATACTGAAAGGGCGAAACGTTGTAATAAATATGGCGACAAAGATGAGGACAATAGTCTGAATAATGTAAATAGTGTACATAATACCTCATCTCAGAAATATAGACAGATACTGAAAGGCCGAAACGTTGTAATAAATATGGCGACAAAGATGAGGACAATAGTCTGAATAATGTAAATAGTGTACATAATACCTCATCTCCTAAATATAGACAGACACTGAAAGGCCGAAACGTTGTAATAAATATGGCGACAAAGATGAGGACAATAGTATGAATAATGTAAATAGTGTACATAATACCTCATCTCAGAAATATAGACAGATACTGAAAGGCCGAAACGTTGTAATAAATATGGCGACAAAGATGAGGACAATAGTCTGAATAATGTAAATAGTGTTCATAATACCTCATCTCAGAAATATAGACAGATACTGAAAGGCCGAAACGTTGTAATAAATATGGCGACAAGGATGAGGACAATAGTACGAATAATGTAAATAATGTACATAATGCCTCATCTCAGAAATATAGACAGATACTGAAGGGCCGAAACGTTGTAATAAATATGGCGACAAAGATGAGGACAATAGTACGAATAATGTAAATAGTGTACATAATACCTCATCACTGAAATATAGACAGATACTGAAAGGCCGAAACGTTGTAATAAATATGGCGACAAAGATGAGGACAATAGTACGAATAATGTAAATAGTGTACATAATACCTCATCTCCTAAATATAGACAGATACTGCTTTATTAGATATCAAACATATTTCGGATGGATAATTATGCCTTTAAACCATTTAGACAATTTTTCTGTTACAGCCGGTATATCGGCATTTGTCTATGTGAAGGTAGAAATAGATAGATAAATAAATAAATAGATAGATAGATAGATAGATAGATAGAGAGAGAGAGAGAGAGAGAGAGAGAGAGAGAGAGAGAGAGAGAGAGAGAAACGTTTAGATTTTGCACACAGAATTGAAGAACCAATTAAAAAGTAAACAGCTAATTTAATTATCCAAGAATTTATGTCAGTCTAAGTGTTTGCTTTGATTTTTTTTATTTAATTTGCATTTTAACCTTCGATTGAAATGTTCAGTTTTAAATAGAAAAATGAAAGGAAGAATAATGCAATAATTTGAATCTTTCAAAAACGACGAAAATGAAAAAAATCAGTGTGAATAATTTTCTTTTTAAAATTCTCAGCAAATTTTATAAGTGAACATTTTAAGAAAACTGTCTGCGAAAATCTTTGAAACAGAAAAACTTCATTAGAAACACAAACAAAGTAATGAACTGTGATATGACGTCTGTCCACTTATACGGCAGTTGAAGCTGGATAAACTTCTTAAAGATGAAGAAGAGACTTGAAGCAACGGAAATATATTTCTACAGAAGGATGCTGAGAAGTCTATGGACCGAACATGTGAGCAATGACAAAATTATAGAGAAAATAAAACCAAAAAGGAAACTTATTCTTAACACCTGGAAGAGGCAGTTGAAATCTCCAGAGCATATAACGAGGAAAGGGAGCTTGGAAAATTTGATACGCACAGGACAGATTAAAGCCAAGAGGGACAGACGAAAACAAAGCAAAACCTACTTAGTGAGCTTGAGGAAATGGATGGCAGAGCAGGGTTTAGGAGAAATAACAAAAATACACGATTTATTAAGATCCATAAAGGACAGGAAATTGTGGAGAGCCGTGAGTGGACATGGCACATGAAGAAGAAATCTTTGAAAAGCAATATTTTATAAGAAACAGATAATAGAAAGGATAGAGAAAGACAGAGAGAATGAGAGATAGAAAGTAGTAGAAAGAGAGGTAGTAAGCCTGAACGAGGGAGAGGGTCTTTTCAGTGATAATAATGTCTAGATAACTAAACGTCTGAAAGCTTTAAAAAAAAGAAACTTAAATAGTTTACTTTTTTAGAGTGAGTATACAGATAGGGAACACAGGAGTAAAAAAGAGAGAGAGAAGTAATAAGGGAAAGAGTAAAAGAGAGAGAAGTAATATGGGAATAGTAAAAGAGAGAGAGAGAGTAGTATGGTAAAGAGTAAAAGAAACAGAGAGAGAGAGAGAGAGAGAGAGAGAGAGAGAGAGAAAGTAATACGAAAAAGAGTAAAAGAGTGAGTGAGAAGTAATACAGAAAACTGTAAAAAGACAGAAGTAATACCGAAAAAAGTAAAATAAAAGAGAGAAGTAATAGGGGAATGAGTAAAAGAAAGAGAGGGAAGAAATACGGGAAAGAGTAAAAGAGAGAGAGGGAAGAAATACGGGAAAGAGTAAAA